GATGTGTATAATTAACCAAAAAAAAAATGTTTTGAATATTCAACTTGAGATTATTACTATTGCCACCATCTGTATAAGGGGAAAAAATGTAGGGGTGGCTAATGATTAGCTAAGCCCCCATGGGCCCCCTGGCCCCCATCTAGCTCCACCCCTGGATGTAACAAGTGAATTTCTCCACTGTGAGATCAATAAAGTCAATATATATATATATATATAAATAAATAAATATAATAAAAAAACCACACACTTGATGTAAAACCTCGACATTAGGGAACTAACCGCTTCATGAGGACCAAGGGACCCAACAGCCGAGTCAAAGAGGAAAGTCTGGGAAGGTTTAAAGCGGTCGGCCTCTAAAAGAACATCCCAAGCTTTAAACATCTCCCAGAGTTCTGTTCAGACCATCCTTATAACATGGAGAGAGGATGGACCAACTGCTGGAGACATGAAGGTCCACCTAAACTGACTGTCTGGACAAAAACAGGTTTAATCAGAGGGGACAAACTCAGGGGACTAGTGGAGATCCACCGCTCAAAGCGGGATAAAATGTCCTGCATTCAACAATTTGACCCCATTTTCCGGTCAAAGGACACAACAAATGTGGGAGAGAGTGGTCTGCCCAGATAAGACCAAAATCAGAGATAAATATATCATGTCCCAGGGGAAACATGGTGATGGTCGTATCATGCTGGGGGGATTCCAAAATCAGTTAAATTGAATATTAATTGTGTTTGCAAAATAAACTAATAGATGGGCTGTGAGAATATGTATTATGTAGCACTGCTGCCTTGCAGCAAGAAGGTCTGGGTCCGATTCCCGGCCCGGGGTCTTTCTGCATGGAGTTTGCATGTTCTCCCTGAGCATGCATAGGTTCTCTCCGGGTACTCCGGCTTCCTCCCACAGTCCAAATACCTTTACTTTTAAGTTTATTGGCTTCTCCAAATTCTCCGTAGGTGTGAGTGTGTGCGATAATGGTTGTTTGTTCTGTTTCTGTCTGCGACATTATGGAAACAAAAAGATAAATCAGGGTAGAAACTTCCAGTCAGCAAATTTGCAAAGCAGTTCGAAAAATACCTAAAAATTAATTAATTTATTATAATCTCCTTTACAAAATAAAATAAACTGATTTTTCTGGTTCCAATGTGAAGATATGAAGATTTTTTTCAAAGTGGGACAACAACAGGTTCATAGAGACCAAAGCAGCACTTTAAACATCATACCGTCAAAAATAACACAGAACTTCTAGTGGTGCAGAATGAAATATATGAATTTTAATGAAAAAACTATTATAGATGATTGTTTTATACATTTTGACGGGTCCAAAATATACAAGTATTTATTTCTGGTTGCAAGGCTAAAGACAGACATGGACCTTACCTGATCGGACATATTTCTGGTAGGATTCAATCTAGAATCTGGACTTTTTGTTTTTCTGGAACTCCAGGATTCACTGATGGTCAGCAGCAGCATGGTGAGTCTCATATTTTAATTAAATCATTCAGGCGGATCAAAACAATGGGGAAGAGGAGACATGGAAAATGTCTGAGCCTTAAATAAAGGGGAAAACAGACAAACGTTAAAACTAATGAGAAAAACAGATGCAGAGAATTAACTAACAGGTTCTGGATGAGGAAGTAATGATTTTACTGAGATGAACACTGGGAGGAACAAACTGGGAAAAAGAATTTA